TGTCACTAGTGACAACTGAAGGTGTCCCTGGCATATTTTTTTTACAGTTACTGCATGCAAATATGTTTTCATCTGTATCAAAAATCTTAATTTTTGTAAGGCCAAAGAAGCAATTAAGGAAGCACAGAGATGTGATCCAGACAACATTTTTACTCAGTTTAGCGTATACAAGGTGGCTGTGCAGGAGAATGAGGCAGAGAAAGGTACCTAAAAAAGATTACTTACTGGGACTGGGGTTCTTTATAAATCATACTAGTGTTGCCATAATAACAGCAATATTTTCACCATATTATTTTTGATGATGTGGCTGATTTATTTATATTTTGCTAGCCTCAGGTGCATTGCATGCAATGGGACGTCTGTCCAAGAATCCTGTAGCCTGTGAGGACAGACTGCTGGTGTCGGAGGATGCTGCTTCCAATCTCCTGAGTCTGGCTGCTCAGATTGCTTTGGAGGTAGAATTTATCACAGGACTCATTGCTCGTTTCTGTACACCAGTCCTTCAGTTTAGGTCTAATTGAGTTATTATTACATTTCCCGGTCTTATGATGATATAGCGCCTCATCAGTGCTATTTGCAGCTTGGACAGAAACTGGCAGTTTTTGTGAGTGGGAAGTTGATGAGGGATTATGTCCTTGTCACTGAACTCATACTGGTTCCTGTGCAGAAGGGGCTGAGAAGAATAGCATCACTGAGAAGATGATCGAGCATGTTAAACCTTTCCAGGAAAATGTCCAAGCCAGCTGGGATCAAAGATAAAGCTTAAATATTTTTCAACTCTTGTTCGTGTAGACTTATACTGCAGTCCTTCCTCAATAGTTACATACTTTATACTATTATACAAATAGATGTGTTACAGTAACTTTCCCCAGCTATTATAATCAATAGTTTCAGTTATTAAATCAGCTTGAAATTTCTTTAGTGTACTATGTGATTCTGATGCGTATCGATAAGTATTGGTGGTGGGTGGCATTAATGGTGATGAGAAAGTTTCTAACTCTGTGACAGAATGGACAACAGGAAACCGCCATGAAAGCACTGGAGATTTTGTGTGAACACTCCAAAGATCAAGCACAGGTTCTGGTTGCTCTGAGGTGTGTGAAAACTTAAGTATAACCTAAAAAAAAAAGAAGCAACATTTTAACCTCACTTTTATTAAAATAGTATCTAACATGAATGATATGATGTGACAGTATGTAGCCAAAAACAGATTGAGTACAGAGCCTTACACATAAGGCTGTTATTAAATAAACATACAGTTACATACACTCATCATGAGCACAAATAACATTTTAATTTTGTACTTTAATAATTTGAAACCCCGAGTTAATATTCATGGTAACTTAAAAAAATAAAAATAAAGCTTGCACTTGTGAATAATTGCGTTTTTTTTAAATTATGTGCTTGCTTTCTTATTGTCTTGATTTGGATGCAGTCTTAGATACGTATAAATTTGATGCTAACACCTAACTTTGCTAATGGATATCACGTTTGGTTTTTGAGATCTGAAAATAATGACTCATGTTTAAATCTCGAATTGGGTCATGATGGTACTGCGTCACATTTAGTAGAGGTGGCTCAGAGATTGTATTTAGTCTCTTAGTTTTCCACACACCTCTATGATCCACTGACCTATATTCCCTCACATTTTCACTGAAAGTATGTCTCTGTATAATACAGTTAGTAGGTGAAAGAAAGGAGGTCAACACCAATTTCTTCATTCATCTTTTTAGGTGTTTGGTTCGGCTTGTTCTCTCCACAATAGAAAAATTGAGTGATGAAATAAGGTGAGGCGAGAAAGAGGAAAAATACCAAATGTTTTCATATTTCAAATTGATGCTGATTTAACTGAAAAAACAAAAACAGATCTACATTTCCTACATTCATTCCACGCAGTGATGTAAGTCTGGATGTCTTGCTGCCGCATCTAAAAAAGGGTAAGTGCAAATCCATGAGGGTTTAATTGCATTGTGAGTGGAAGTGTCTCAACTACAGTGTCATGTGTTGTGCGTCATAACCCTCGGATGTTTTCTTTGCCGTCACTTCAGCTCTGCAGACAATTTCACACCCCTCTCACATGACTGTTGATCAACGCACAGAGGAAGCTAACTGGTTCAGAAAGATTGGTGCTAAGATTCTTTCTCTTCTTTTCACTTCTATCTAATGTGGTATGCTATCACTTAAAATCTTGCAGCACCTTCATTTTGTCTGTGTGCTCATGTGTGTCCTTGTTACAGCTTGGAACTTGGCTTTGCAGTGTGAGAGCAGCCCTGACAAAATGAGAGATTTCTTTGTGCTCTCTTACCAGGCAAGTGTCCTTATTAGCTTTGTCAGGTGAATTAATCAATGTCTGCTCTTTGTGGGTGTAGATCAAGAACACCTGAACAGGAATAAACATTGCTTTATAAATAGAAACGTATCAGTTTACACTCACAATAATATGTGTTCCTTAACCTTAGCTTTAATGGAATACATACCATTACATTTGGATCTATTAAGTTTGATTTCTGCCAGCGATTTTGCCCTGATGCCTAAAAGTATCCATATACAATTATTTTGATCTTATTTATAAGAAATTCAACTTACTTTTGGTTAAACGTAGTCAGAATTTAAATACAGTATTTTAGAAATACTTTCCTACATTATATGTACAAAACTATGGACCCACCTACACATTACACTTACATGAGCTTTATGACAACTGGTCCCCTGTTTGCACCTATAGCAACTTCCACTCTTCTGGGAATGTTTTTGCAAATGTTAGAGTGTGTCTGTTGGAGTTTCTGCCCATTTAACTACGACTGATGCTGGACATCACAGTCTCCATTTTACTTCAGTCCTAAAGGTGTTTGATGATGGCAGCTAAGACCTACCACACCAAAAATTATCCAGCCACACGTTAATGGACCTGGCTTTGTTCTTTTGGGAATAGTTATGCTGGAAGAGAAAAGGGTCTTTTCCAACCTCTTCCCATAGATTTGGAAGTGCAGAATTGTCAAAAATGTCTTTGTAAGCAGAAGCATTAAGATTTCCCTTCACTGCTGCTAGGAGGTCCAGGTCAACCTAAAAAAAAATCCCCTAGCTTTATTGAATTCAGTGAATAAGAGGTGTAGCCTAGTACTTTTGTCCATGTAGCGTATCATGTGTTAGTTCCTTTGTCATACGTGCTTAAATGTCTATTCTGACAGTGGCTGTGCTGTGTTCTTATTCAAACTGGAAAAACTGAGTCCATATACTTTGCTGCCTACAAACGAAATGAACTACAAAAATATAAGCCTACAGATTATGACGTTACTGGAAGTTCTATTTGTCTATCTGTACTTCGTGCCTACCTGTCAGTCTCAAACTCTTTAAAAAAGAGAACTTGATCTCAATGACAGAGCTTTTTGAAATAAAAGAATAAATAAATATTAAGGCTACATGTGTGTTTCTACATGAACCTATAGTTCTCCCAGCTGTGCCCACCTGATCGCACTCTCCTCATGGGCCAGAGGACATGTCTGCTAATGGCTGCTGCTGCTTCTTTGGAGCTCGGCAGGAAGTCTTCTCACCCTACCCAGGTGTGCCACCCACTGCCCATCTCCTACATTTAGCACACTCTCACTCCACATGGATGGAAATTTACCAAGACCAGTGGAGAGGAGAGGTGACTAACAACATCATTGGTGCTAGCGTAGGTGTTTAATTTGAATCCCCCTGCCTTTGAAAAGGAACTGAACACTAGGTGGCGATGATTAATCCAGAATGCTTTGCATGTTTGTCTGGTTCCAGGAGTTCACTCAGACTCTGGAGCACATTCAGATCTGTTCAGAGGTGTGGAAAACCCTGAAAGCATCAGGTGCATTTAGCAGCTACACTATTCAAACTAAAAGCAATTTTTATTTGCAAAGTGTAAACTATTTAAAACACAGAAAAGGAGAGTTAAAGTTATATGTTATTAAAAAGCTGACATCATGAAGTGAAATTGAGCTATAAAAATGTATTCTCAATTTACAGGAAGCTTTCCAATGGACCCGACAGACTCTCTACTACTGCTGTATGAGTTTGAAGCTCGTGCTAAACTGAATGATCCCATAGTTGAGGCAATACTGGAGTCTGTGTTGGAGCTTGAAAATGTTGAACCCAAAATGTTAGAGACCATGGCAGGTTAAAAAGACCCTCTATTATTAATCATGTCTGTGCTGAAAGACCTAAAGAAACACATGAGTGTTTTCAGTATTCACTCCATGCTCTTATTGTCTTTCCTTTATGTAGCCTTGGCAATGGAGCCTCCAGCCTATTTCCCTCTGCTGTGCAAGAAGGCCTTGAGGGTTGCTCTCTTTCTGCACAAGAAACAACCACAGGCTGACCTGGCGCACTGCAGGCACACCCATCACTACCTTTAGCATTTCATTAATGAGCTTTTTTTTGTTTTTAGATTTTGAATGAATAGGTTATTGACTGTTTTTCTGTGTCCTCATCTTAGCAAGTGTGTTCACAGCCTTATCAAGCTGTCCCTCCCAAGTGGCGTGTCAGAGGTGGAGGCCCATGTGCTCGAGGAGGTGTGGAACTACTACGAGGAGGCCCTGTCCATCATTGCAGCCGCAGTGAGTCAGCACCAATCACACACCGACATCCCTCGGCTCCCACCTCCTGTTCCCTCCAACAGGAATGCTCTTGCTATATAATTCTCCCCCTCTTTTCCACTCCATGCTTGCCTGCTGTTCTAGAAGCCTCTTTTTATCAATGGGCTTTCAGCCGCACTCCAATTAGCAGATGCTTCCATTCACCACCCCTTCCTGCCAATTTGAATGTTAATGCGCTGTACAAGTTGTCACACTGCCGGTGAGCTACAGCTCTGAAAGAGACATGAAATTATTGAGACATTATGCAGCTTTAGAGGCAGCGCACATTTCCCCTTTCATATTGAGTTGTTACTTGAAAGCTGTGGAATTCTTTGGATCAAAGTAAATGGACAAGATTAAAGTGTTGTGAAATATGAATGAACCATTTCCACTGAGTTTGTTTCATGCTCTGTTTTTATGACTTACAAGCATAAGTAAATGTTAATATACAAATGGACAGGATTTGATGAAAGTTTACTTGGCATTTGCTGCCTCAACCCACTGAAAATGATTTGTACAAGACAGTAACCCAGGTGGCCTTTTGAACATCTTCCTGCTCTTCTCCGTAGCCGGACGACTTCCCAGAGATGGAGACCTTGTGGTTGCTGACTCAGGCTTGGAACACTGGGATTTTGCTGTACAGCTTGGCTCAATACCCCGAAGCTGAGAAGTGGTGTGGCCTGGCCATGAGCTTTGTCCGCCACCTGGGATCTCTACAGGAGAGCTATGAGACACAGGTAGAGGACTGGTGGAGAGAAGGAAAGGGATGAAACACTGGGTTGATAGTAGCTTAAATCATCCTGCTGCTTTGTTAAATACAGATTTTGGCAGAATTAAATCTACATGTCATTGTACAACTCCAGGGTTGCTCATCAAAATACACCAATTATAGTTTTGAAGTTAGCTCAAGGAACTTCACCAAAGGTGATCCTTTAAGTATTGCAGCTTTGTCAAGAGAAAAGTATGGCAATAAAATACAGTCTCATAAGGTTAAACTGGGACACAGCAATGAAAGTAACTGCTCCATTGTACTGTTAGAGGTATAAAAAGCTTAGTTATACAGCTGTTATTTATGTACCCACAGATGTCTGGTCTCTACAGCAAAATCCTGGACAGATTGGACAAAGCAAAGAAAAATGTCAGCATGAAAGAATAGACAAACAGGTATAGGTCAGCTGTCGGGAGCCTGGTGCACGCCTGTTCTTCGGGGAAACCTACCTACGTTTATTCAGTTCAGTTTTCAACACCCTAACGTTCTCAATGTTATGAGAAACATTTACCAGAAATTCCAGTTTGGTATGTTCTTTTAAGTTATTTTAACTGTGGCGTATTCTGGTAGACTAGTACATTCATTTCTGGTCTGATTCTTACCTGAACATTTGTTCTAAGCTCCTATCCATTTATACTTTTCCGACAGAAACTTAAAAAAAAAAAAAAAAAAAAAAATCTACCACTGCAGTAGTTGTTTTTAAAGCCAATCTGTATCCCAAAGTAGAATAAAAGGCACATTAAAATCATATCTGAGTCACATATTTTATTTTCAAACAAATAAACTCTTGTCAAGTCCCAAAATAAAACCCAAACAAAAGTTGCAGGACTGTGTTCCCTCATGACTAGGACAGGGAAGACCATGAGGCCAAGTGTCCTGATAGGCTGTACTACCTGCAGTGACAGGAAGGAAACTACTGTACAATCAAAGGGTTCATGTTTGCAAGCACTTACTGCACAGATGTGCTATAACATAAACATATCATCACCCAAAAGTACAAACAAGAACCCTGACCCCCCACCCAAAAAAATAAAAGTATATATGTCGTCATTTCTCTCATCAGAACAAAGACCCTCGTCAATTATACACACACAGAGGCATTCAGGTTCCATCTTATCACAACCTCAATGGAAAAGTTTAAAATGAAATCAAGTTCTTTGGGCTTTGACATGGCTGACTGAGGTATGAATACCACACACATTGTTAACAGTCAGCTGTATTTCAACTAAACGCCAGAGTGGACCAATTCTAAACCTCTAATAATGTACTGATCAATGCTCCTGCTTCCTGTGATATTGTGTAGGTTTCTGCCTGCATCACTTTATTTTACAATATATTGTTTTTTTAGTTTTTTTAAAATCTATACACCCAGACACGTTCCACAAGAAATCACATGTAGACAGGCCCTACTTGAGGGAACTGAATTCCCAACTGACTAGTTAGTGTTCCAATAGGCATTTGAAGAGAAATACCAACAATACAGCACATTTGTATGGAAATTATATCTCAAGAGTAGCTCAAACTTTACTTACCTGACATTTGTGGTCTATAAAACATGTTTGTCCCAGTTTGATTCACACATGCATGAAGCACAGGTGAGGGGGATCTGCTGGGGGCTTATTTACATCGTACAGCTACCACACCCTTTGAAACAGTCTGCAAGCAGTTTATAAATGGCTCTGTTCCCTTCGGTAATTCCCTGAACTCTGGTTTTGACACAGGTAATGACAGCTGGTTTAGCAGTGGTGCCTGGCAGGTGGGCACACCTGTTCAGAAAATGCCTGCAGGTACAGGTGCTCTGTGGGTGGGAGAGAGCAAGGGACCCAGGGGTCTAGGTTAACACTTCTTGTTTGGGTCTGGCTCTCTGAGGAGAAAAAAAGAAGTATATCCCTTTGCACTCTTCCCAAAAAAAAAAAAAGCTGAGGAAGAAAGCAAAAGCGTTCACAGGGTCAAGGGCCACAGCACTCCTCCTCCAGACGTGCTCTCTCACATGCACACATTAACATATAGTGCCAAGATATGCATGGAAGGATGGTGCAGGTCATTTCAATCCTGGTGACGCCACAAAGCAAACTCAAAGGTTACCAAACTGATGGCCTTGAACAAGCTCCCAGCCTTGCAGAAAAAAAGAAGACAGTACAGCCCGATTACACTGTCCACTTGGAAACAGCTTTAACTAAGCGACAGTGCCTTTGAGTAGTTTGTTCACATTTGACAACTGTGCAATCGCCCAAACGTGGCTGTTCAGTCACGGGGAAATGGTATCTGTATGTTAAGATTCCTGAGCTGGCCAAGCTCACCCCCAGACGTGCCAAGAGCTCAACACAGTGCTTCAGCACCTGCCAACAATAGATTAAGAATTCATTGATTTATAGATGCACAAAGCGTAGGTTTTCTCAAACCCAACTTTAGTGTTTTTGGTTGGTGGACGGGGGAGGGGGGGTGGGTGGGTGGGGGGGCAATCGAAAACAGGTTATAGTTACTCTAATATTTAGGACATCCAATACAATTATTGTCTTGTTCTACCCGTTTTAAGGCCACCATCATGGCGGCAGATACGACAGTACCGTGTGACCAATCAGAAGAGAATCCTCTGGGAAGGCAGAGAGTGTAATAGGGTGATCTGCTGCTCAACATGAGTTGGGAGGCTCTGGTTATCCAAATTGCAATCCATTGGCCAAATTCTTCTTTAATTATAAAGGAAGAGGGTTGAAATACAGGGGAGGGAAAGTGCCATCAGAGGCAATTTTTTCTTCTTCTTCTTTTCTTAATCTATTGCACTCAAGTCAGGCCTCCTGACAGTTGGAGGTCACAAATAGGAAAGATTTTCCTCATCAATTGTGTTCAGCCTCCCTCACAGACAACAGGTAGTCACAAAACAGAATTTGTATTTGATGTAAGGCAGTTTGGTGTTTTGCAGAGAGCCCAGTTACACTTCTCTACCCCCGTCCTTTACACAGAGCAGCTAAAAACCACAAGCAAAAAAAAAAAAAAAAAAATCCCACAAGAAAAAATAAAAAAACCAAAAACAAAACAAAACAAAAAAGGAACTAACAGCCCTCCAAATTGACAATTCTAGTGAAGTGTAAAATGTGTAGTTTTTAATATGTAGTAAAATCTCAGTAGGATTTCATCATTTATTTTGTGATTTCATAATATAAATGTAGAGATTCACAACGCACTTCTTCCTCTTGATCTGCCTCCCAAGATGTCTTTATCGGCTGCAGCACAGACAACTGGCAGATGACCAAACAGCAAGCTGGTTTGTGATAAATAGATCAGTTTGTAGGCTCCTCTACTAATTTCCTCAGTCATTATAAACAAGAGAGATGACTCCTTGAACAGTACCATCAGCAGGGCTCGATTTATCCAGTCTTTTTTAGAAAAAAAAGAAAAAACCCTTTATTGGTCTTCAACTTCTTGTCTTGCGTGTCTTTTATAATGTGATTTGATGAACATTTACAAAGTGTTCCAACTTGGTATGATTTGTCTCTGATCCCCTGAAACTTCTTTTTGAATCCCAACTCCTCTCCAGATTTCTGCAAAACCTTCTGATCTTCAGTCAGTCCCAGTTCACAAAAGGATGTATTCCTTTTCCCTTTTGTTTTCGGTTGTCAAATTCCTTTGGAATGGCATTTCCAGTCTTGAATGGATTTGTTGAGAAACTCATGCAGGGGTGTGCACAGTCACAGTAATGGTGATAAGACTTCTTTTTCATTTAGAGAGTAACATAATGATGACACTAAAACTTGATATGAAACATATCTGCAAAAAGGAGGTGAGGAGAGGGGCTATTTGGGCTTGGGTGGGGTCTCTGGGAGGCAGGAGGGGAGCTCTGTGCCGATGCAGAGAGGACGGCAGGAAGCTCAGAGTTTCTCTGAGGAGGGGATCCAGATGTAGGGCCCAGACTGCTCCTCAATGATTAGCTTGATTTTGTTGTAGATCTCCTCTAGTGAGTCACCCTGTACAATAGCTGAAGGCAAACACAAAGGGAGAGAGGTGTGTTATTTGGTTGCATCAGACCTAGAGTCCCCCCCACTCCCCAAAAAGTACCCTAATCAAGAAATTCTTCTGTTGATCAATCAATTCAGTTGTTTTATGAAGCCAAAAAGCCAAATCATAAACAAACACACACCATCAGGTCGTAAATAAAACTTAAAATCATGGATTGAGATTATTCACTGAGGTCAATTTCCTATAGACTTACATACAACCACAGAATTCACTGACTTTAGACTTTAATGACAATAAATAACCAGATCACTGAGGGAAAAAAAAATCAAAACCTATATCCCAAATTGTAAGTACAAATATTTTTGGTTGGCAATGAGACTGACCTGTGAAATACTCCCCAAAGTCTTGCTCCAGTTTAACTGCCTTGTCAAAGACTTTATTGGCCTGCTCATACGTCTGCCTCTTATTCATCTCCCTGAAAGTGACAGTAGTTACGGTTAGCATGACGGACACAGACCAGCTGTGATCTTGATGACAGTATGTATAAAAGCTTCGACTTACATTAGGGCTTCAATGGATTTTGGTTTGATAAAGATGGCAATCGGATAAAGTTGTGCTTGCTGCAGTCGTTTTATGGCATTCCCAGAAACATCCAGAATGCAGTGTTTCCCCTGTAGGCAAGTAGAGAATACTTTAAAATACTCATAGTGGTGAAAATTTAATGCTTTCTGATTTAACAGGCCACCCAATCTGGTAACCCAAGCTCACAGAGAAATGCTCGATGCCTACCCTCTCAGCCACAGTTCTGACAGACAAGATGCTTGTCCCATAGAGGTTCTCGTTGAACTGGCCCGCTTCAATAAACTTATTATCCTGGATATCCTTCTCCATTTGCTCTCTCGAGCCCACAAAGTGGTAGTCCTGGCCGTCAATCTCGTTCTCTCGCCTAGGACGAGTTGTATCTGCAGAAGTGAATGGAACAAGTTTATTTTTGTTGTTGCTATTTTGTTTAGCGTACTGTGTAGAGGTGTCGAGTGTTGTCAACTCACGTGGTACACACGAGCCAAACTTGTGGGGGAACTCAGAGATGAGGTCATCGTTTATTCTGTCCTTCATTGGGCCCAAAATTATCACAGGTCTTGTGTAGTGGACTGAATCCGAAACAGAGAAGGCAAGTGAGGATAAATGTAAAAATCTACAACAATGACAGATTGTGGAGAAGAGATTTCACTTACTTTCCTGTCGAATGACTGGCTCATAAGAAAGAATTGTGTCCTCCTGACCCTCTGTAACAACAAAAATTTAACAAAATGAAATTTTACATCCTGTCTGAAGGAATTACATAAAGCTGCCACAGCTGATAAAACTCCAAAATGAAATATTAGGTTGCAGATATCATTTCACACGTACATTTAAGGACATCTACCGTGTTATTCATCTATGTGGGCAGAGTAAAAGAAACCAGAGAGACCATGAGAAATTAAAGGTGACTCACTCGAACTACTTTCGCTGTCACTTGTGTTGGATGTCAGGCATTCTGCAAAAGCAAGAGAGTTTCAGATCATTTTACAAAACCGTAACCACAGTGGCATTCAAGTCAATTCTCTTCCTATGGGTGAAATTTAGTTTCACCTGCCTCAAAGGACAAAAAGGGGAAAAAGAAAAGCACTCTGTTTCTCAGCAACTAGGCCACATAAGAAAAAGGGGAATAACGAAAGCAGAAGTTTGGTTTGGTGCAGCAGCCATGCTCTGGCAGTATTTGGGAAGTGGTTTTAGGTGCAAGCAATAGGAAATTAAGTGCTTCCTGTGACAACATCCCAAATGACCCACAATCCCCAGGCCAGTGTTTCCTATTGCTAGATCTGTGCCGGTGGCAGCTGATTTCATAGCATAGAAAAGGCTGAAAGCATACGGCGCTACACTGTAGAGAGAAGGGAGGCAGGAGCTGGCTGACTTTGGGGAATAAAGCAACACCCTGCTCTGGTGATGTATTGTAGCTCTGTGTGACCTTGTATGACAAAACTCTACTAAACATGTAGAAAAATGTTGTGAGACATTCAAAATAAGTGTAATGTTCACTCAGCCTCTCTTGGGAATGCTTTTTATTTTAAATAAATATCCACACTGTGAATCTGAGTAGATGTGTGAGTGTGTTGTTTTCTGTGAGCACACAGATAAGTTTGTGTGTGTCACTCTAAATTTCTTTTCTTTTTTTGCATTCCCAGCTGGGCCTGCGGAGACAAAGCATTTTTCTCTGAGCTCAGGGGACAGCTGCTTGACACAGTACAACCGCACACTTACTCAAACTCTTTGATCCATAAAAGTCATCGCTTAACCCTGGGAAGTCCTAGGTGTCCCGACAGGTGAGAGCAGAAACCAAGAGAAGAAAGCAGACAGGAAGAAGAAGAGGTTAGTGAGAGTTGGGGCAGGGAGAGTGAAAGAGAGAGAGGAGTGCTGTGTAGTGCTCGCCAGGCCCACTGACACACGGCGCTGTGGTACTCATTTAGCCTGAGCTCCACTTTGTTCATAGTAAGCCACGGCCTTTCAATTACACAAGCCCAATCCCATTAAAATGGGATTTTGACCTGTTAAGTGTAAAAGCTTCGGCCTGGTTAATGAGATTCTTCCTGTTGTGGGTCAGTGACTGACTGGGAAATTGATCAGGCCTTATATACAAGGAGTAGCATCACAGCATTAGAAGGCGTGTGTGTTAATACAGCCGAGAACACACCCAGCTGGCAGCACACACACAGTTGGAACACTCCTCCGGAGCCCACAGACAGACACACCAGAGAGAAGCCCACATCTCCAGCTCAGCGGTGCTGGCTCGTGGCGTGTGGGGCATCTCTCTGGGACAGTGAGAAAGGGATGAGAGTGATGCCATCGCACAAACCATCCCTGGAGGTGAGCGGAAAGATGAAAGTTGAGAAACAGAATTGAAGCATGAAGGGGAAAGAGGATGAAAACAACACCCCTCCCCCACCACTACCACCGCACACCCCAATCACACAGCTGGTACTCACGTTCAGACTCCACCAACTCCTGCACAATATTCTCCTTGCTCTTGTAAAACGGGAACTTGCGTGAGAGGTTGAAGCTTTTTTTGCGCTTTACTTTGACTGGCTGCTATTTGATGTGTGGGTGAGAGAGGGGAGGAAGGGAGGGAGGGAGGGGGGTTCAATGAGAGGGTGAAAACAAAAACAGAATGGGTTTCAATGAAGGTACTTCAACACCCATGCAAAATCAAACAAAAACAAATGAAATGTAAACAAACAATTCACATTAAATAATGAAAATGAAAGGCAGGTAATGGGTGGATATGAATGGCACATCAATGTGAAGGAAACAAGCATCCGTTTACCAAATTAAACATCTTCAATAAATTTAATCCTTGTACCACAGAAAATAATACAGACCAAAATTAAAGCTGATTTATGCTTCTGCAAATTATATCTGAGAGATTGTCGTCTGACAGACGTGCAGACATTTTGCAAGTGCACATTTCTTAATATCGCTGAGTGCACGAGCTGTGGAGGTTGCGGAAATCTCTTCCTCTTCGCGGAGCCTCTGGGTAATCTATATAGTAATTCGAGAGCTTTTTGTGCTTGCTTCAGTGAGCAGGTGCTGGTCCCTTTCCCACACTCAGGGGGGAAGTAGGCCATCTCCCTGGGAGCCCAGCAGCAGCTCTGAAGACAGCCGCTCTGGCACCAGGGCAGGGAGCAGCTGGCCCTCTACACTTACCCTGTTAGACTCAATCATGCCTGTCCTGGCGTGGAACTTGACTGTTTTTAACCTGGCCCGCTCCTTCTTCTCCACTCTAGGGAAAGAAAGAGAAATATATCAAGTTGGGGCCGGGCATGAATAGGAGTAATCACATTAGCCTCGTCTGGCATTCGTACACCGCTGCAAATGAAGAGGAGTGATACCTTTTCTTGCTTGGAATGACCCCAATCTGCTCACTCTCTCCGTGAGGTGTGACAAGCCTCGCCTGCCACCACTCATCATCAGAAGCGTTTATGACATGAAGGATATCCCCATAAGAGAAGCTCAGGCCTTGGCTGGGCAGACAGCTGTCCCTCGTTCGATCGTAGTCAAACAAAGCTCTGCAAAAACAAAGCCTTCGGTTACTGTGCCGAGCATTCGAAGTTGGCACAAAATGACAGTTCTGACTCTGCAGCATTACATAATTGCTCTTTGTTACTTTGTCTATTACTTCACATTGCTTGCATGTGGGCTGCGATTTGACAACATTTTAAATATTTGGTATTTAGAAACGCTTTTGCACAGTACTGCATATCAGCTAAAGTTTTAGGCAGGTGAGGAAAAAATGCTGTAAACAAAGGATGGTTTCAGAAATATAAACGATTGTTTATTGGCTCCAAATGTATTCTGCAGCAGGACGACGACCCCAAGCATACAGTCAAAGTCATTAAGATGATCACAACATCATCGAGTGTTTCTGGGATTACATGAAGAAACAGAAGGACGTGAGGAAGCCTACATCTACAGAAGATCTGTGCTTAGTTCTCCAAAATGTTTGGAACAACCACCAAAAACCGTGTGCAAGTGTACCTAGAAGAATTGATGCTGTTTTGAAAGCAAAGGGCGGTCACACCAAATATTGATTTGATTTCGATTTCTCTTTTGTTCATTCACTGCATTTTGTTGATTGATGAAAATAAATGATTAACACTTCCACTTTTGAAAGCATTCTTTGTTTTTTTTTCTCACCTGCCTAAAACTCTTACACAGTCCTGCAGTCAGAGATGCCACTCATATTTAGTGACAAAGCCATACACAGTCACACTTGAATCCAACTCATTTATACATTTAACAATCACTTTTTAAAAGGTGGAACAGAAAGCAACTTCAGACATTTACTAAGGCATGCCATTCATTTTCATTTGCTGTTGCCGCATACTTTCCACTTCAATAGACTGTGTTTACAGTCCAGGTGCGTCACTAGCTTGTCTGACAGGTCAAGCCACAGCTACAACTGAATCTAAAACTACCTGCTTTACAGGTTTAAACTTCCCTTGACCCATAAGCCTATATCGACAGGCTACGCCATACTCTAGCGGACAGACAGACTGAGCTCAACATGCATTTTTCTCCTCTGCTCTAAAGACTTGAGCCAGTCTGCTCCTGCCAACTGAAACTGGGAACGTCAATACATAAAGACTACTGGTGAAACTGTCATGGTGCCATATAGCTTATCTCTCTCTGTGCTTACCAGGGAATCGAAAGCACCTTCAACACAGGCTGAGGAGTGATAATCAAATTCTTTCCTTTAGCTACTTTATGGTACCTTAACACAGACAGTGAGAGCACATGTGATACTTTCAGACTAAAAGATTCCTGAGGCTGGGCTGGGTGGACATGGCGGCTCCCGCATTAGCCGGCAAAACTAGATAGCTTTTCCTGCATAACTGCGGGCTTAGTCACCTGCACAGGAGCAGGCTAGGCTCTACATGCCTCACAGGAATCAGTGTATATGAGAGGCATTACTCACGATACTCCTCTGACCATAGCAGGCCTCCAACGTAATAACACTTATGTACCTTCTGAGACATCCCGATAAGATCCGAGCTACTTTCAGGAGTAGTTTTAAGATTCTGATAGTTAAAAACAACTGAAGAGGCGGCTTGGCTGTCAGAAGTGAAAGGGTAAAGTGAAATGAATGAGTGCTTCAGCAGAAATATGGGGAAGCACTTTTGACTGCGGCGTTACATCACACGCTCCTTTCACCTTGAGCCCTGCGACTCGATGCATTTATATGAACAGAAGGTTGCCACCTGTTTCAATTCCTAAATGAGCCTCAATCCAGTTTGGCAACTTGCCCAAAGTGTCATAACACAGGTCATCCCGACAAGCTCCCCTGTCAGTCGACATTAAACTAAGTCATTGTCATAGCAGGCATCAAAACAACAACAGGGAACGTCTGTTCGTCTTTCTTTAGATGGTGATGAATAGTGTGAACCCAGTAGCCTGAATTAAATGATGTCACGCGAAATGCTTTAATATTGTAACATGTGATCTATGACATTTATGTTGTGCTGCTACTGTCTAACAGTGTGTTTGGGCTTCGTCTTCCCCTGCAGACGAGCTGAGGTTTGTTATGCAATAGTGAGATCTTAGAATTGCATGTTGTGAGTACAAGCATGAGTATGTGTGTGTGGGTGGGTGTGCCGACTTTACCTGACATATAGGGAGCGCTTCTCACTAGTGCGCAGGGAGCCTGATCCTGAGCTCATGCTGCTGTTCATCATCTGCTCCCTCAGGTCGTGGATCTTGGACTCAAAGCGACTATACTCTGCGTAGCGAGAAACAAACAAAAACTGTGTCAGCGGCGGGTTCTGGAGAATAAACTTTCCCTTTGAAGTTTTACGCTTAATGCGCTCAAAGTTAACTTGGTGCATTCGATCTTGAGTAAAAAGACCAAACAGGAGCATTGGCCTCTGCCTCCTTGTTTCGCTACGGTATAATTGGAGAGCTGTGCCTCAGCCAGTGCTGCAGTGAGCTACAGTAAAGAGAGGAAAGGTTGAGCGAATCCTTAGGCTGATTAATGACCCCAGGAACTGATGGTTTATCACAGATCTGCCTCACACATCCAGTCATCTTTCATGTCAGGTGATTAATTACAGGGATTAATTAGGTTCAACACAGGCTCTTTAGTGTGGTTAAAAAAAGCGAAGGCCTCCAACAATTTCAAATGCATGACCATTTGTCATAGGTGTGTAAATCCAGTTGCTGCTCAGGAGCACAGGGATGATGTATGAATCCACCTGGACCTGCTCATTAAGAAAGCTCTCATTAGCCTGCTGTGCACAGCGAGCTCCGGGCTGCTGGAACGAGCGAGGCCACCGCACCGTGCAGCACGCTGCCAGATAAACAGAACAGCAGATGCATCCAGAAAAACAAGTAGGCTAAGGTGCTCATGTGATCACACAAAGGATGTGCTGGAGCAGTATAAAGACAGCACTGTGAACAAGCAATTTTGTCATTTAAATGTTTCCTCTACTCCAATGTTTCATGTCGCACAGCTTGCATATCATGAATGTAGCTGCACGCAACTGAATCTAATTATTACTGCCATGTGATGAGATGAAATATTGCTGTAACGATGACACATCTATGCTCTAATATTAATTAACCTACGAAACAACCAGCGGAAAAGAATCTCATCCAAATTTATTCCACATATCGAGTTGACTGGCATGCCCGCAGGGGTACCTCACAGCTTAATCATCAATAGCTGGCAACACTTCCTGTAATTTGAACAACAAGAGATCAAAGTCCATATTCTGTCAAACAAGCCTAGAAGCAGCCTTGAAAAACAAACACCTACGCCTACAAAGATGATTTAGTTAGTCCGAGCTCGCGGAAGAAATTCTGAGCAGGTGCAAAAACAAGCGTCAGGTTGCTGATCTATAACCCCCTGCCGAAACCAAAAGGATTTTCGAAGCAAACATGGATCCGGCCCAGGCCCGGTGACAGCGCTCCACCCTGATCTCTGCTCAAAGGGTTAACGATACAACAGAGTGACGCTGCAAGGTGAGGTAACCAGACACCGCCTGACTGCCTGTAACCAACAGCAACAGTGTAGCACTCCTAGAACAGGGACAGCGCACACGGAAACAGCCATTCAGACTAGTCCACTTGGCTTTCAGGCACAGGAGAGAGGAGAGAAAAGCAGCACAAGAAGCTGCAGCTTGGGGAAGGAGGGGCCGAGGGAGAAGACAAAGAGTAGCTAAATACAGAGAGACCTGCTTTACAATGCCACCAACCTGAGAACTGTACCAGTAACTCGGGGCAAGTGCACATTAGACAAAGCTAAACGATTAGCTTGATCAAATTCCTAACAGCAAAATGATTCATTTAAGTTCAGTGAGCACTGAAGAGGAGCAGAACTACAATCAGTTTTAAGCCTCTGGGGGAAGATGGGGTGGGAACTATAAGATAACTACAATTTGCTGCCACACCTTCTTGATAATGGTGACACCAGAATACATCGGTAAATCCGTGTACAGCACAACCCAGTAACTAACTGACAGGGGAAAGAAAAACACTAGCTATAATCAACTTGTGCAAAAAAAACTAATTTCCGGCAATTTTGGAGTCAGGTCGTATAAAACAATAAGGGAAGTTTAACCTTATTGTTTTGAAAGAGAACATATTAGCTCCTATTTTAACCTCTAGCAGAATGATTCACGAGCCTTTAGATTGGCTGCCCCTCGCTAACAGAAGGTCTAAACAGACAGTGGGCGGGGCCTCTGTGCTCATAGCCAGAGCTGTAGGTATGAGACCATCATAACAGGAATATCTGCTTTCACTGACATAAAAGCAAAGTGATAGAAAAAAACATGGAATCAAGAGTTTCGATGTGTTGGCCTCCTGTTTATTAAGAGCACTGACCATTAATATCAGCATACTTTTTATATGTAAAATAAGGAAAAGCATTATAGCTCCCCCTTTAAAACAAACAAACAAAAAAAAGAGCAGGCTGTGACGGTGCTGAATGAAGGTCACAAACCTTCCACAACATCACCACAGGAGAACACCACCACTGTAGTGAAACCTCAGCCCTGTATTGATCGTTAGTCCTGCCTGAAATACCAAGCACGTGGAGCTAGAGTAACGCAAACAAATCTTTCATTGGCGTGCCTTGACAGTCTGGATATCAGATGAAAATCTAACACAAATGAGAACAAGCTCAAATCTCCCATAACAACAGCATTTAAGCTAAGTGATCACTCACAAGTAGGGATGCAAATCAAAGCAATTTATAACTGTGTGCTAGCCATGTTAATAATCAGCCCAAGAGACAGTCTAGCCACATGTTTTGGGGGGGAGGGGGTTAAAATATTACCTTGATGTCATCATGTCAAGGTAATTTGAGCAGTAGAAATCAATCCGGTATTTGACTAAGGCATTAAATAAACACCTGTAAACTTTAAAAGCAACTGAGTCACAAGCTTAAAAAAAATAATAATAATGTCATCACTCAAAATAGCCTCTCCTGCTGTTTCCCGGACACATGCTATTTAACAAATGACCGACAAAGCATAAAAGAAAAAACAAGAGCTCTTTCATTTCCACTGGCTACATCAAACATTACCAAAGAAGCAATCTGCAGCCTCTCTAACAGGAAACACTTTCAGAAAAACAGAAACAATCCACAATTATCTGATAAGACTCTTAAGAACCGCTACATCTGTCCGGTTAAGAACAAGTCAGGTTATTGATCGAGACATTCAAGACCAGCCCAGCTCTTGCAGGGGATCAATCCAACATAAATCATTTAGTGACATCTCTGCTCACAAGCCCATCTTTAGCCCAAAATTATAAATGTTCAATCCTGGTTTCTTAAAGCGATTAATACTCATGAGGTAGCCTGTATTTTTAGGAGTGACCCACAGGGGAATAAAGGAAAAAAAAGAGAGAGACAGCTAATAGAAACTGGGACTATTCTGCACCTCTCACTCCCACTGCGTGTCCTCATTAGTCGAACAGCTTTTTTATTTTGGGGGACGGTCGCTTCGCTTTTGATCCAGTTATGCAACACAGCAGGCATGCACTTGTAATGTGAGTGTGCGTTATGTTGACAGGAATAGTCGGGCCAGTGAACGCGCACGCCCCCCTTCCCCGATATTACAGCGTGGAAGGTACATGTAGACCCTGCCTAAAATATTTCTACAAAAGCCCATAATACACACTTGTGAGTTTAATGAGGGTGCTCGGAGGGTAACATTTCCTTCACGGCCCTCCTCCCACTCCTTAAATGCAAAGATTCTGGAGTAATTACACTCATTGATGTCGGGGCAGGGCAGCAGTGTGTGGATATACACCCTTCACTTCCATCGCCTAATGTGAGTTAAAGGCCTGGCAGTGCTCCAGAAAGCCACTGAGAGTTGGGGGCCCTCCCACCGCAGCTTGTGTGCCCCATTGTGGCTTCTTGTAGTTTCAGTGTTGGCCTTCGATCACAGGCCCATGGATGCTCAGGCCCTCAGCACCACAGAGTATACTCCAGGCATTTTGCCTGGCACAAACTAGCTCTCGCTCTCTCCACTTCCCCCCCAGATTGACTGTCCTTGTACTGCTCACTGGGGGTTCCTCCTGCTCCAAACTCAAATGAACATCACGTCTCACACACACACATACACACACCCCTTTAGGATGCCAGCAGAATTACTGGACACAGATCTCAGGTCACCAGAGGGGATACAGGAAGTCGATCATTTGCCAGCACTCGACTTGTTCGTTTGGAGTAGTTTAAAACTGTATACAAACAGATAATTGTCTATCACTGAGTCACAAAGGGGGCACAGGACTGAAAGCAAGATTTGGTATGAAAAACAAAGCTTCTTTTCTTCTAACCACATCATTATTCAAGAAGCTGCCTGAATGACCCGACATGCGAGACAACATAAACTCACAGGGACGAAACCCAACACCGCACGTTTATCGGTTTTTGATCTCAGTCTGAGCCTTTCATAGACTTTAACCCCAATCTAACTCGCAGATCCCACTCCGACTCGGTTTCAGTGGCCTTGGAGAGTTATTGGACAGTTCAGGCTGATGTTTTATTGAAAGACAACGAAACATGGAGCGAGCATGCTACGACTTATGCCCCGTCACATTCCTGTCATAGTCCAACCTGAAAAGACATAAAGACATAAAACTCGCAATATCCTCCCCATTGTTGCTGCAGTATGAAGTGCAGCGTGTTCAAGTACACTTACAGAGAATGGCTGAAGCACTAAGAAATACAGCCACAATTCACAGCCAAGCTTTAATTCAGCATTAAAAAGAAGGAGTGGTGCTATTTTCTTGAATCGTCTGCTAATGTTGGAAATAAGGGCAACACGTGAATTCTGCTTTTGTCAGCTTGGAAAAGGGACCTCTGGTCAGAAAGTCGTAATGCGCAGGTGAAGTCGCAAAACTGACACACACACCTGTTTGACCACACCTCTGTGCCCCCGCCTATAGGTTTAGGTTGCATAAGAACAGTAAAGCAAATGCTGGATGAAATCTCTCTTTGGGGTATTAATTACAACCTAAAGCGACTTCACCTACCTCCAAGTAGGTTTTACATGGAGTAAAAAGCGGTGAAAAGTGGACAATGGAGTCCAGGTAATGGCAGCAGTTTAGCGTAGACATACTTATGTTAACCACAGTATGGGTGAGGCGATCACATGTTTGCTACTGTAACGAATTCATCTTAAGACTGATATTAATGAGAGCAGGTATAATATCGCACCGAGGCTTCCTCGTGGCTTATGAATGAAGAGCTCACACTTTACTTTGTCCTTCAGGAGTCAAAGTACAGGCGAAGAGCAGCAAACTACGGGCCGTACTGGCAACCAACACAAACATGTTCTACAATGTAACTCACTCTCTTTGTTCGCTTTTCGCCCCCGTCGGTGTTTGCCGACACCTTCGACCTTCGTCTCACCTTCGCTGGAGAAAACTCTGGCTATAATCTCGCTGTGGCTGCCGGTAGTTTCTTCATCCAGCCATTAGGGAGTTCATGCGGCTTCTGCTCTTCTGCTGTTGTATCCGAGCCCATCCCCCATCATCGCCCGTACTGGCTGGTAGACATAAAAGTTTGCCGCTTTCCACCTCTTCACTTCGGGTGCGTTAAAGGTTTCCCCCCCTCTGGTGTCGAAATGGAAGCGGAGCTAGCAACTTTCCGCTTAGTCGCCTCTTTCCATCGCTGTGCGGGTCTGTGTGTACAGACAGCCCAGAGTTTGAAACGGGAAGGACAACAGCGGTTTCGTTTGCCCGCCTTGCAGTTGGCTCCACACTTCGGGCTGCTGCCACAAGAGCCGCCCCCGACCGAATACTCGCTGAAAGCCGGCCTATCCGCTGCGCTGCCCTCGTTTGCAGCCCGATCTGAGTGCGCATGGGCCGCGGCACCAGGTAAACCCGATTGCACCATTAAATAGATATTTAATCAACATTGTTATAAAGCTGGGCTCGCGAGAGACATGTGGAAAAAGAACCAAAACACACGAAGCCGAGATATCGTGATTTTCGCTAAATGCTGTGAGTCTCAAAACAATCGTTCCTACATTTCCCACAATGCAATCCTCCAGTGCACTAGAAGAGGAGGGGGGAAAAGTACAAGACATGCCTGGACCACAGGAAATCGGAATGTTTGAAAAGAAATAAACATAATGGAAGAAACATTATGGCACATCTTTACGCTGCACCCACAGCTGAAACATTTTATATTGAATAACTGTTTTGCAAAACAAATGTTTAGACTCCTTACTACAGCACAAGTCACAAGCTTAATCCTTAAATCAAAGTAAAACATCTCATGGTACAATATAATTATAATTATTCATTCTTTGTGTATCACTTTGATGTTCCTACGGGAGCTGATTATCTATAATACCACATAACAAAATATGTGAGAACATTTAAATTTTATAATCTGCAAAATAATAATTACCAAAGAGAAAGTAGCAATATTTGCATCCACATTAAAGTGCAGTAAGTGGTTGAACTACCTTCTAAAACTGTACTGTAGTTCGGGGGCTGGATTAGCTCACTGGATACAGCAAGTGAGTGTTATGCTGTAAGGCTATTGCAGAGGCCATGCCCTATACTGGTCTTTCTCTCAGCTTTCCTGTCATCTCTTCACTGTCGCACCACAATACAGACTAAAACAAAAGACCCCAACATGTATTCAAATCAGTACTCTAGTTCTATTGCATTAGCGAGGACCGCCAATCATGATATCAAAGGTTTAGGGGAGGAATCTTTATACTGGATCTTGCTACAAGGCTGCAACTTTTTTCTAATTGGCTGGTGCTCTCAAACAGAAGGTTTGAACAGCAGGTGGATGGTGTTTCTGTGCTCACAGCGAGAGCTGTTTGCCCGAGATGACCTTATCAAGGATATCCGCCCTCTGAACTTTAGAGCGGTCTAATGTTTGAGCTCTCCAGTCACAGTTAAGGATACAAATATTTGCACTTATGCTGCCTTGATTTTATTTTATTTTTTTAATTAGTCATTTCACATAAATAAGCACATTGCATTTGACTTAATATAAACTCAGAGGCATCACCATTTTCACAGGAATAGGAGCAAGAGAACCTGAATGACTTTGATTTCAGTGTAAGTCCCGTCTTGGTACGATGACATATTCACACATTACATGAGATTGTAGGGCCTTACCTTCAGGCCTGTATTGAGCAATGATGGTAACGGTCTGCCCAGCTCTCTTCAGTGCTGCAGCTGCCTGCTCATGTGTGGCATTCCTTAGATTCACACCATTCACCTGTTTAAAAAATAAATAAATACAATTCTAAAAATCAACAAGGGGACATTTGGTAAGAAAACTGGTTAGATTTTTAAGATGGCTGGAATCATGTGATCCTTGAGACCTATACAAAAAAACAAATGTAGCAAAGAACAATGTCTATGCTCAAAATAGATGGTTTCAAGACTTACTAATAATGAACCAAATTACTCAATAAAATTAGTAAACGAGTATGAAAATGTACATTTTTTTAATGATGTCAGCTGATGAGTCATTAGTTATCTTTTCTGACTGACTCATTTTTTCCATACATGATGTAATATGCAGCCAGATTAAAAGCAAGCTGAAAATAAACCAGTCAAACACAGACTTCGGGGCAGAGGGCAGCTAAGCTCCCTAAGAGTCCATTTGGATTTAATGTCTTGCTCAAGGACATTTGTGAGGCAGATATTTGCTGGCTTTCTAAACACAGTCCCTCCTTAATGTTATCATCATTATTCTGACAGCAGGAGTTGGCTGAAAACCCCTCTGCCTCAGACTTGTTTTAGTTGTTGATGTGGGTAAACAGAAAGCTTGAAGCTAAAAATACTAACCGAGAGAATCCTGTCGCCCCTCCTCAGCTCCCCGCTCAGGTCAGCCGGGCCTCCAGCCAGGATGAAGGAGACGAAGATCCCTTCTCCATCCTCCCCGCCAACAATGTTGAAGCCCAGACCAGTAGAGCCCTTGTGTAGCACCACCTTCCTTGGCTCCCTGTCAAATAGAGTGGCGGTGTCAGGGTGAAGGGCGGGACAAAGAGTGTATAAAAAGAGGCCAAATTTAAAAGAGACGTGGCCAAAACTGGAATCGAATTAGCATGAACAGAGAGTACAGAGACTAGTTTGTTATGTGAACGATCCCAAAATGTCAAGTGTGTCCAGTTTAGGCAGCTACATGCAGCAGGCCTGCAGATGGTTTATTGTAGGCTCGCTCTGTTTATATACTTGAATCTGAGAACTTTAAATAGAACATTTAAACAATTTATGTTCAGGACACCACTCACTGGTAGAAAACGATGATTAACCATATAATAACCATGCATAAAAACCATGCACAACACTGTTAACTCATTACAATAAAACAAGCAGGAACATGATTGGGTCCAAATGCCTGTCATCTATTGGCTACATCTTATGGAAATGTACACACGTGTCAACACTTAAACACCCACTCGTATCAATGTACAATGAGCCGCCTCCTGCTCGACAGACCTGCTGAAGCTCTGCTTTAGCTTTACCCACTATGACTCATCCTCCAGGAGGCTATTCAGACCGCCTCAGTTTTAAGATGCTAGAGAGGCCACACCGCTGCTACGGTCCAGGCAAAAGCCCTCTGAGAACACACTTCACACAAATGCAAACACACCCACGCACACTCTAGGAAGCCCAACAGTCGACTCTCTCGCACTCTTTCTCGCACACACGCCGCGCACGCACGCTCGCGCAGATTTTCTATACAGATGAACACATAAACACACATGCATGCACGCAAAATGCAGCTTTCTTTCTCGACAGAAAACACTGCATGGTTCCCATTAGTGGTTTTCTCTCGCAGTACTCAGCCTGCGGTCGACAGGAACAATTCCTGCTCCATCCCTAATGGCTGCGCTCAAAGTCGCTGCTAAGACCGTTTTCCCATTGATGGCAGCAGAGGCAGCATTCCAGGCTTTCAGAATCATACCCATGAGCAACTGGAAAAATTCTGGAGACTCCTGAATAGTAACATCGTGCTTAAAGAAAGACTGCTACGCATTTTAAATGAAGTGAACTTTGCAGAGATGCTAAGAGCATCACACAAGATAGATCAATATCCATATAGTAGACTCCTCACGAGCAATGTGCTTACAAAAAAAGATTCTGGTAAAGAGATTATATGATTGTGCTGATGAGACTCGTAACATTGCTACATTATGCTCCAAGTTTTATCCACAGCCTTTTAGAATTAGCTAAGTGATAATTGCCTTTGAATATGCTAAAACAACTCACTCGCCTTCACACAAGTCAAGCCTAAAATAACCTCACTTTCCATCTAAAGCCTTTCATCTCGGCTTGACAAGGCACACAGATCTCCATGGTTACCTGAGCATCCAGAGCCGGTGCTTACTTCTGAAAGAGCATTTCCTAACTGTGCGTTCAGGCAGGCTCCTCACCAGCGACATGGAAGACGAGATGTTGACCGTGAACATGTTCGCTATGCCACATTGCTCAGCTCAGCGCAGCATTACTCCCCGACCCCTCTTCCTGTCTGGCCTTCCGCAGTGAAGTGGAATACAGAATTAGAAACTCCTGGGATCTGGGCCTTGTGTTCCCTATCTCATTCTTGTGTGATGTGATGGGAAACAGATCCTCTTCTTGCTGTGACAGTTGCTCGCTCCCTATCACTAGTAAGGCAACACGTTTAACCCTAACAGTCCCAAGCAAACAAAAAAACCTCTTCCATTCTACAGGAAGAAGCAAAAAACAAAACAAAACACTCTTGTCTTGCACCTGGAATAATTTGGATGGACTAGAGATTCTCCACGTTTGATCCTTTCAAGCAATCCCCTCGTTTCTGCTGTGATGCTACTGAAGATTTAGCCCCCCTCCAGTCCAGCACACCAGCATTCCTGTCTGTCAGCTTGGCCCTCTGGACACAAGGCAGATATATTCCCAGAAGCTCCTTGCTAATTTGTGAGAGTAAACAAAAGAGGAGCTCATGGACTGACTTTCATGACTTTTAGGCCTTTGATTTGACGCCCTCATACTCTCTGTCCAGACAGTAAAGTCCTGTGGAAGACTTTTGACAGGTGCTTTTCTTAACAGCTGTTGCTGCTGCCCTCCAAGGAGGTATGTGTGTGTTGCTTGTCCATAGGATGTGAAGTGCTTGGTCAGTTACATGGAAAATGGGAGTGAATTCCTACATTTTGAAAATGCAGGGATCAAGTCCTCCCTTTCTATCACAAGACCTGCTCCCCCCCATCCCATTCCAACTCCCTCCCACCCCTCCGCCTTTTTCATCCATGCCAGGAATGTAAACAGGTATTGAGCAGCAGCGGTTTCTTTAATTCGGAAACCACCCTCCCCTCCCCTCGCTACATTATCCCTCTGTGCTTCACTTTTCTGGCTGAGGCGGTTGCAGTGCAGTCCTGAAGCTCTGAATGGATATCTGGGCTGCAGGGTTCAGCAGGTCATGCTGCCCTGAACTCAGCCAAGTAATTGGCTCTGCTTGGCTGATTAATGGTGGACACTGCAGATGGATGCCATTTTCTCCACAGACAGACACTACCTATTGCAGCACTTTATCTCTCCCCATCTCCAAAACAGATTACATCAGCGTGTGTTCACGGGGACGCACCATCTTCCCTCTTCTTTTTCATCGTCTAAATTTTACCCGTAGATTTTTCAGTGTCCACCCCCCTTCTTCTTCTGGGTCTGCTCTTTTCCTTTAATTTGACAGGAAAATATTTATTCATTGCTAAGGTGATAGACTGTTCATTCTCCGTGCCTCTCACCGTGACTAAGAATAAAATCTGAGTAATAAATGAATAACACCTAAGTTGGGAACTCAGCTGAATCTGCTGTGGTTCTTTTCATTCTAAACCCCTCATTTAACTCGCAAACCAAAGGTCATGGTGTTATCCGGATTCTTGAAAAACAAAAAACAGTCAAAGGTTGTGTTTCCATGTGTGTAAGAGACACATAATGTTACTGATTAGCTCAGCTGCTTCGACAGTACTAAGGCTTCTGCATTTACACATGCTGTGACTAAACAAAGAGGCCGAAGCAGGAGGCATTGTTGCATACAGTACGGGGGAAAACATGCAAACTAAAAGTGAGAATGCATTTCAAAATTATGCCATAAAGTTTTTGTTTCCTTATTAACTTTACACAGAAGTCCTTAAGCTGAAAAACTAAATCAAAATATTTGGTGGGACTATAGCACCAATTCTCCTAGGTACACTCGCACGTACTTTTTCAATGTTCTTTCAGCAACTTTGAAAACTTTCTTGCAGTTTTGTGTATTTAGACTGTCTTAGTGCCTTCTGTCTCTCCGTGTGATCCCAGACTGACTCAATGATGTTGAGAACAGGGCTTTGTCGAGGCCACGCCATCTGTTACAGGACTCCTTGTTCTTCTTGTTGCTGAAGATGCTTTTTCCCCCTTTTCTTGTTAATATTACTCTCACTTTATGTTTGGCGTCTTTATCAAGATGCGGGATACATTTAGTGTTGATTGAATGCCTCTAAATATTTAAAATTCCTAAAATGTTTGCACAGTAATTTGCATCTGCAGTAAAGCCTGACAGGGCTAGTAGAGGGTTGTTGCTTGTTTAGTCATCTTGCGCCCTGTCACGACTGCATGCAGATGTATGTTTACACCAAACATGCATGCTAATCTTTTCTTGAGTCCAATGTGGACGGAAACAAGGATTTAAAGGATCGTCTGATTGCACCATATAATATAACATATCTCCAGAAAGTGGGGGTAATATCAGATGGAGAAGGGGGTGTCGGGGACGTGTCTGCGATGACACCACTGAGGGGGATGTGCAGATGGGCAGAGGGCCGATATAAGCTCTGACTCATTCCTCACAACAAGTCTGCTCTACTTCTGTGGAAGCCTGTGCCTACTATAGCATCCATCTAAAATAACCCTTCGTGTTTGGAGCCAATGAGGAAGCTTTTGGGGATTGGAAAGAGGTGTCTGCCCTGTGCCCAATGGAGTAGAATGATGAGATCGAGTGGTTTGTCACTCGTGATGTCCTCAGAGAAAATGGCTTTTGATTCTGATACCCAAATGCACGCACGGTCACCATATGTCGGCTGCTCTTGCTTGCACAGTTGGCTTACGACGTGTCCGGTGTTCTCGATCGATATGCACAGGTACGGCATGTGTCAGTGTCGATATTGCATGCTGCACTTTAAGCGTGGCACGCGTGTGTTCGTGTGTGTCAGCACACTGTGAGCAAACATGTCAGCGTACAGTAAGCACGTGTGATTGGTGCTGGCAGTACGGGTGATGAGAGGGGTAAGACCTGAGTGCATGGCCTGGTTTTCCCAGCGTGCATATGAATCATGACAGCTGCAGCACTGTCTGCTGCCCTGTACAGGATCAGGCTCTCTGTTTACATTTACATACATAGAGAAGCAGGCAAAATATTTCACCGCTCCTGTCATCCGCACTAGCCTTCAGTTCGACCCTTCCTTTCAAACATTTACCACAAGCATTTAGTTAGAGCAGGACTACAGTCACTCTCTGCAAGGCATATATGTTACACAATATAGGTAAATTACATAAAAACAATGGTTTACACACAGACATCAGTGCAGTCATCCATGAAGTGATGGAAAATGGACAAAACTGTGGCTCTAGAAACAAATAAAAAGAAAAACATTCAATGAAATCAAACACCAGGAGGCCTTTTGCAAATTTGATAATGCCAAACAGAAACAAAACCCCCAAATGCAAGCCATAAATAATATGTATATTATGTCTTCAGCAGTGAGCACTAGCCAAAGTAGCTTTGGCTGGAGATATAGGCTTAGTTTTATCAATGCCTCCTGACAGATGGAATTGAGCAGCTTGTGGGAGCGTGAAGCCCTTTCGGCTGCACTCCTGCGGTGATGTGTTTGTGAAGAGCAGGTACGACTCCATTTTAAACTGCGGTGAACAAAGCACTACTGTTTGAGATTCGCACCTATGAGCAAATTAGCAGGAAATCAAATATTGACCGAATGGGAGTAGGCCGTTTAAAATATGAAAAGCACCAAAAAAAGCGGCAACGGGAAAAAAAAAAGAGGAAAAAAAAATGAAACAAAGGGCAATAACTATTGTGATTTTCTTTTCACTTGTTCTCTACTCAGTGTTCTGTTGATGCTCGTTTCTTGTGAAGTTGTGAAAGATAAAGTAGTGGTTCCAAATAAACTGAAAAAGCCTCAGCAAAAATTTACATGCAGACAGAAAACGAAGAGATTTCTCAACATAAATATCGCCTGCCTCGCCCTCCAGCTTTCCTTTCCTCCCTCCTCCCTTGGTTAATCTTAATCTTCTCTACTGCTATTTATGTGCACAGATGTGGCCCAACACACTACTGGTAATCCTGATGGGTTATATGCCCTGGCGTTTTTCTAAGTGCCGAGCTACAGAGAGGAGGGTTAGCTAAGCAAGGTATGATGGACTAGGTTAGTACCTGCCAGAGAAGGGGAGTGGACCTTGGCACAAGGGAGCAGGGGAAGGACAGAAGCCTCTGTAGAGGGCCTGGGGCACCTTGCTGTCCCCAGGTTTGTGGATGACACTGTAAATAGGTTCAGCCCTGCTGTGGGGTACAGGAATCACAGTGAACGGGACAAGTGTAGGACACAAATAAAGCACACATACCAACAAAGATGCGACAAAATGCACATACAAGTCATGTAGACAGCTTGTACAAGGACATTACAAGGCGACGTAACACTCGGCCAGTAAGACAGCACACATAGACACCCGCATGCAATCACACAGACACACACACACACACACACACACACAGAGGGAATACAGCCTCTTCCCTAGAGCTGTGGGTTAAGCTGACTCAAAGCCTCACGGGACACTCCAATCAACCCTCTATGAATGCTACTTCTGATCCAGTACTTGGATAGGAGGTCAAAGGGTAAGACACGCTCGTAACAAGTATAAGATGTGACAAAAGCCTTCTCTCAGCACACAGCTGCCACACACTGTCCAGCTATTATGTAGTATGCACCATCGGGGCCTCGATGAGATGAAAACTGCAAGCTAAGCGGATTCTTTTGTTAATCAAACACTATAAGCTACTGTAAACAGGTGTATCCTTGAAGCCACCACAACAACGCTTGTACAAAAGCAACAAAATAGAGGCTACTGGGAACAAAATACGATCCATGTTAAATTAAAATAGTTACATAATTTATAACCGTGTTTCTACAACTACACCAGCGAATACCAGAAAAGGCCAATAGCTGATCTCCACCAACAACCTGTGCTAAGACTTAGCCAAAGCTACGCTTATACAGCCTTATGAATGTCAGGTTATGGAGGAGGATCATTCGTGGAAGAAGCCGGTCTTTAACGTACCTCGTGAAGTCTTCCTCCCCCATCATGTGGCGGGGAACGGGCGAGTACCTGGACGGGGTGACTTGGGGTGGCGGGTACACTGGCTTGGGTTCCATTCCCCCCATGTAGTTGTGGCTGACGTGGTTGTCCACCATGGTGGGGAAGGCTGGAGGGAGGGCCAGGCCAGTAGGGGGAAAGAAAGAATGATTACAACACCTGTGCAACAGGAGAACTGCACAAAACATGACTGCATAAAGCTGGTTAATCAGATATTACTGGCTCCTAAATGACAGCTTCATTACCACACCAAGACGCTGCTTTATAATGATAATATTCACCCAAATATAAATATGATTTTTGTGTCTCTGTGTGAACCAAAGTGGGAACACAATGAAATAAACGGGGAAAAAAAGAATCCATGAGCAGATTAGAATACTTACTGTTATCTTGTTTTTTAGCTCCATATATTTATTACTGGACTCTTACTAGACTGGCTTTGCATGATTCACAGCTCAAAATAATCCCTTTGTTAAGTATCTTTTACTGGAGCCAATCACTTCACCCATGGTCTAAAAAGAGCTTCTCATAAAGCCAGCTTTCTTCTGATTGGCTGTCCCTTGCAAACATAAGGTCAAAAAGGTAGGTTAGTGACTTGTTGTTCCTAGAGTATTTAAAAGTAGAATGGGAGGGAGAGCCTTCGGTTTTCAGGCCCCTCTTCTGTGGAACCAGCTTCCAGTTTGGATTCGGGAGACAGACACTATCTCTACTTTTAAGATTAGGCTTCAAACTTTCCTTTTTGCTAAAGTATATAGTTAGGGCTGGACCAGGTGACCCTGAATCCTCCCTTAGTTATGCTGCAATAGATGTAGGCTGCCGGGGGATTCCCATGATGCATTGAGTTTTTCCTTTCCAGTCACCTTTCTTGCTCACTATGTATTAACAGACCTCTCTGTATTGAATCATATCTGTTATTAACCTCTGTCTCTCTTCCACAGCATGTCTTTTATCCTGTCTTCCTTCTCTCACCCCAACCGGTTGCAGCAGATGGCCCCGCCCCTCCCTGAGCCTGGTTCTGCCGGAGGTTTCTTCCTGTTAAAAGGGAGTTTTTCCTTCCCACTGTCGCCAAAGTGCTGCTCATAGGGGGTCATATGATTGTTGGGTTTTTCTCTGTATCCATGAAGCGCCTTGAGGCGACTTTTGTTGTGATTTGGCGCTATATAAATAAAATTGAATTGAATTGAATTGAATTGAATTGAATTGAATTGAATTGATGCTGCTCAACCCATAGCCACAGTTGTGTGTTTAAAATGACCATAATTAAGATGTCCTCTTTCTATAAGTATGAGGAAAATCATAATTGATTTACCTTCTGGGAATGTACAGTACAACTACAGATTAGGGGACCCATGAAAGAGGCAATAATCCCTCTCTACATAACTCTTTATATCCATCTCTCTGGAGTACAGATTATCGATATACGACAGTTTGAATTATATACGCCTCCAAACAAGTTTTTCTAACTTCTCTGTTTCTTTATAACTTGTTTGATCATCTGACTGCTTGTATTTCTGACCACATCTAACTTCTTATTAACTTCTTTCCTGCATTCCCAAAGCTGAGCAATTAACTTGGTGAGAACGATGATATTATTAGGAGTAGAAATAGTGGCCAAAACCACAAAAATAGGACCCAGGTTTTCCTTTGAAGTACCACTGGGCCATTTTTTATAAGCTGGCTCACTTTTTTATGCGCACAATGTAATCTATTGTTTCTGCTATATGTCTGTTGCAAAACAGGGAACTACCACTGATTAATATGTGAAGGCATGTGCCACATTTTTCTAAAAACCTGTTTCCTTGTGCATGCACGTAGCAGACAGATCACACACATGAACAAGCCTCTTCTTCTGAATTTACATTTTTAGCGTTAGCCGAGCGTGATAAAGCAAGTGAACTACTTCACTTGCAAATCCGGAACCGCATCTAGATTCAAGGGTTAGTGGACTTAAACGCAGACGACTTCAAACATTCGGAACTTACAAAACCTTCGATAGCCCCATCTAATACTAAATCACTGTTGTGTGGAAATTTGAGATGCTGTAGCTCAAGATCGTGGGCTCTCATGAGCAGGTGGGATGTGAGAAACCATCCACACTCAGTGGGAGGCAGAGAACTGTGCTTGTTGTTGCTGTGGGAAGGATTGTGTGTCTGTGTGCACGAGCGTTCACTACATACACTATGTGGGTGTCTGGGCATAGCAGTTTTGGGGAGAGAACAGTGAACCAACAGAAAAATTCAGAAAACATCGCTGGTAAAGATGAAACTTTAAAAAAATCATATAAAAAAATTACTCTTTACCTTACATCTCTAATTTTGGAGCTTGCTGATTATTGATTAGCAAATTTGCACTTATAGTACGACTACAAGAACAGGAAGAGGTAGATACGTACTGCTGGAGTAGTCTGGTGGGGCATACATGTCGTTCAAATGCACAGGTCCCGGCTTGGCCACCTTGAGGTAAACCATATCGGAGGTGTTCTTCAGCGCAGCTACTGCCTCCTCATGACGCACATCCTGTAGCACGATGTTGTTCACCTGAATGTGACGATAGTCCAGAAATCAGAAGAGGGGGAAGAAGAAAAAAAATCTTTGTATCAACACCTGAAAGCCTTGTGTCTCCTGCTGCACTGTGACAACATCACGCATCACAGCAGTCATCACACCAGCCAACACAATAATGAATCATAGCTTGGAGGTATCATGAGATTTCAGTACATTTCAACAGCAAAGTAAAAGGTTGGTGTGCCGTGCAGTGATAACAGAGGTCAAAAGCAGTAGGTAGAGGTTTGAAGGATGCTCTGTATCTCTCTTTACTGTTTCTCTTTTAAGATTCAGGTCCCAGGAAATGTGCTGCCAGTCAAAAGTTATTCCAGCAGTTTGGTAACATTAAACCAATGTGCTCACTTGCAATAATGCAATAGAAACAGGAAATGAAGTCTTGAGAAATGCTTAAATTAATAATGGCATGTTTCTTGATCAGTCTATGATCTGTAGCAGCATGCCACAGTGCCACCAGATCTGCATTTTAACTACTGATGTCTTTGAGTTGACATTTTTCTTTTGTGTGCATTTCTTTCAAAGGCCAATTTTCTGCCTTGCCTGCAACTTCTTCAAAATGCAGCAGCACAGCTTGTTTATGCAGACGTCACCCCAAATCCTATGTTTTAAAAGTGATTTTAAGATTTTACTTTTCAGTTTTAAACCACATCTAGGGATATGTCCACACGTACACGGGTATTTTTGAAAAC